GTAGATTGAGAATGTGTTTTATAGGCAGAATTAGTAACACTTGCTGATGAATAGGATGTGGCAGAGATAAGGAAGAGAATTGGAGGATAATGCCTAGAACAACCAGGCGGTGCTGGTGCTGCACACTGAGAAAGGCCAGCCTGGAAAAAGGCAACATTGAGAGGCGAGGAGGAAGGGTGAAGATGGTTGTTTTCCCCATTCTCCACCTGAGAGGCCCAGGAGGCATCTGAATGGACAGGCCAGTGAAGCCTTTGGGTTGATGGACCAGAGGGAAGAACATTTGGAGATTTACACTTTTGAATATTTGCATACGTATTTTCTTTTGATTTTTCCGGGGAGCATTCTGCAGCCAAAATCTATGTATTTTCAAAATCTATGTTATGAGAGAGAGGAGAAAACGAGGCCAATGAAATTTTCCCACAACTGCCAAGCCACGCAAGCAGCTTCTCTTTCAGCACATGTGGAAGCCAGAACGTAAGAAGGAGAAAGAATCTTAGAAGGTTCACTCTTTTGATGAACAGATGTGACCAGAACTCAATGCCAAGCTGGTGAAGTGGCTTGCCCCAGTTCTCAAAAGTAGTGATGACAGGGTCTCTGGCTCCGAAGGCTTCATCTTTCCCAGTAGATCAACTTTTCTTGGTGAATGTTTCATGGAAACTCTTCTGGATGTCGGTGTGCCAACTACAAGAAGGGTGCTGTGGTCAAGTAAGTTTGGAGTTTCTGGCTCGAATGTAACTGACTTGTCCCACCTCTCAGAATGTTTCCTTTTTAAACAAGCACTTCTCAGAGCCTTTGTCATAGAGATTTTAATGTGCTATTGTGGCCACAACCCTCTAAGAATAGGACATTTCTTTCCCTCATTTGTTTGACCATATCTGAAGAAGCGTCTTACGGGATTATAGTTCTGGGAGGCACTCTGAAAACATGGCGAGAAGCCAAATAAGCAAACGATCCAAAGAAGAGCCAAACAGAAGGACGGAAACAGAAAATGTAAAAAAAAAAAATGAGTGATTCCATCTGATTTATATTAAACCTATGGATAATTCAGTAAATAGTTCAAGTGTTATACCGCCCAGAAGATATATCATTGGATTGTGAATGTAATCTTCGTATGACATAATACAGGTTACTGCCTAAGTGGAGACAGTGTAAAGGTTTGCCAAGCTAGATTTCTGGAGAACAGAATCAACCCACATAACTCAGGAACCGACATTGTCTTTACAAAAGTTCTTAGTAATTATGACCTAGCGAGTGAACAAAGCTTATCCACATTTGAAATGACAGAAATTGGGTGGGAAGGAAAGGCAGATGTTGCACTTTCAGAGAAATTATGTTGAAGGAACGTATTGTGAATATGTTTAATTACATGGAACGCCCTTGACATAGCCAGAAGGTAGAAGAGGAACAATAACTATCCTTGAAAGTGACATATAGAAAAGAACCCTGTTTGCCTCCTGTTTACTTTTCAGTAACATCACAGTTCAAAGTTCACAGCAGTTGTTTCCTTTGATCTCCAGCCATCTTTGAAAGATATTTCTAAGCTTTTATTGTCATGTTTCAAAGCAAAAAAATGAGACTGCGTGAAGGTGTTTGCTGTTTCCTGATTTAGCTGATAATCCTGTCAGCAGGTGATATCCTGTTAGTTTTCATCTTGTCATTATCTTGAGTTTCGAGTTCATTTCTAGAAAGAGAACTCCTTAGAGGGATTTCATATTATCATCTTCTCAGTCGACCAACTTAGAGAGCGCAGAGCCAACGGGTCATCTTGGGAAGCTATAATGCCTTGTGGGTAGTTAGCTTAGAATCGGTAGTGGCAAATGCTTCTTCTTGAATTATTATAGAAATAATTTAGTGCTTCATGTTTCATACTGTCTTAGGGTTCCGTTTCCTAGCAAGCCTGTTTTTCTGAGGGAGTTATTACAGTAAACACTTACTAAGTACTTACCAAGTGTGATCACTAGGTATGAACTCTCTTGACCCCAAATTTCCCCCCAGCTACTGTTCCATTTCTGTGTCTGTTTTGTAGCATAACTCTTTGAAAGAGTTATGCTTTTGTGCTTCCAAATCCTCTGTGTGCCATTCTTCATCTAACCCTAATAAGGTTTTCACCCCATCCCACCACCCCGCTGCTATTTCAAGATCATAAATGATGTCATCTCCGCTGACATCAGGGGTCTGGTCCTCGTCTTCATTTTAAGTGATCTCTCAGAGGGTTGGTTGCAGTAGGAGAGAAAGTCAGTTCTTTCCTGCAACACTTTCTTCCCCTACTTTCAGGGCGTTCCACTCTTCTGGTTCTCTTCCTGCCTCCCTGGCTTCTCTTTCTCTTTCCCCTCTCTCTTAACGGATTGGAGGGTATCAGAATGCAGTCTTCGGACATCTCTGTTATCACTCCCTCGTGTGTGATGTCCCCTGATCTCATTGGGATAACGATCATGCTTCTGATCACTCAAGCTTTGTGTTCCCGCCTGGAGCTCCCCTCCACTTCACCCTCAAACACCTGACTGCCTGCTTGGCCTTTCTGCCTGGATATCTAATAGGAATCTCCAATTTAATGGGTATGAAAGTGAACTCCTAGCCAGGCGTGGTGGCTCATGCCTATAATCCCAGCACTTTGGGAGGCTGAAGTGGGAGGATCACTTGAGGCCAGGGGTTTGAGGCCAACCTGGGCCACAAGGCAAGACCTCATCTTTACCAAAACAAACCAACAACAAAAAAAATTAGCTGGGCTTAGTGGCACACACCTGTAGTCCCAGTTCCTCAGGAGAATGAGGCACAAGGATCACCTGAGCCTAAGGGTTCGAGGCTATCACCACATCGCTGCACTCCAGCCTGGGCAAGAGAGTGAGACCCTGTCGCTAAGAAAAAAAGTGTACTCAGGAAGCCTACGCTTCCGGCATCTTTTTCATCTCATTGAGTGGCGATTTTATACTTCCCGGTACTAAAGCCAAAAATATTGGACTCGTCCTTCTTTCCCTTGTCTCACACTTTCCAACCCATCCATCAGCAAACAATGTCAGCTCTGCTTTCAAAACTGGTCCCTAAATCTGCCATTTTTCCCTGACAGGATTTAGCTTTTTTGATACCTCTCTGGCATAATCTTCCTTTTTTTTTCTCCACACGGTCCCACTTGCAAATTCTTTCCACACGCTGCTGCTTTTGACCTTGCTATTCTCTTTGCTTGGAACACCTTTTCTCGGATATCTGTGCTCCTGAAGGAAGCATACTCCTTCAGCTTCTCAGATCTTTATTCAAATGTCCTCTTCTCGGTGAGGCATTCTCAGGCAACCCTCTTTAAAACTGCAACCTCCAGATGCCAACACTTCTGGAGGATTCCTATATTCCACCTCCGCTTTATTTTCCTCCTCAGCAAACCATGTATTTTACTAATCTTGTTTGCTGTCCCATATCTCTCATCAGATGTTCTCTGAGGGCTAGGATGTCTGCTTTGTTCGCTGCATTGTACATGTACGTGCTTCATAAATCTGTAACGAATAAGAGTGGAAGAGCTGGATAGAGTCCATCAGACTTCAAGAGTGCCACTGATGACTTTGGTAGGAGCAATTTGGAGGGAGTCAGAGAGACCTCAGTAATTTTGCTTTTTTAACATATAGACAACAAAAGATGGTACCTTTTAAAAGATAGAGAGGGGATATGAAGCAGAAATGCGGTTGAAAGAGCGTCTTTGTTTGTTAGTTTAAAGACGGTAGTGAGGCCTGACGTCTTGGCTTATGCCGGTAATCTCCCAGAACTTTGAGAGGTCTAGGCGTGAGGATCACTGGAACCTAATAGTTTGAGGCTACAGTAAGCCAAGATTGTGCCACTGCACTACAGGCCGGGTGACAGAGTGAGACCCTGTCTCAAAAGAAAGAAAGAGAGAGAGGAAGGAGGGAGGGAAGGAGGGAGAGAGGAAGGAAAGAAGGAAGGGAGGGAGGGAGGGAGGAAGAGAAAGGAAGAAAAGATGGCAGTGACCTGATGAAATGAAGGAGCCAGGAGAAAGGGAACGTCAGAGGAAACGACGAGCAGGGGAAGGTCCTTAGAGTCAGCAGCCTCTTGTGGATGAGGCAGAAGCAGGGAAGCTCTGGGCTCATGAGGGCCTTTGGACGTGGGTGGTAGGAGCAGTGCCAGGGACCAGGGCCAAAGGCCTGAGACCAGGCAGGGCCACTGGGGCCCTGGCACGGAAGAGACTCCCCTTTGGTCGAATGTTCTGTTGGGAAGGTTTCATCATTTTTCACCCAGGGTGTGCGTTGCCATTGTGCGCCAGACGCCGGCGGCTCGCAGGGCCAGTGCTGAAGAGCACAGCTGCCATCGGAACTGGAGGGAAGGCCGAAAGAATGAGCACAGACCACAGGTGGCTTTCGCCTTCATGTGAGAGCAGGAAGTTGAGAGCGCTGGATCTGACAGCTTGGATTTTTTCCTTTTTTCCTTGTTTCCCTGGGAAGGAGAACACTTTAGTGAAGGAGAGCACTTTAGTCACCTCCTAAGAGCAAAGGGCGTCTGAAGTATGAAGGCCTTAGAGAGTGTGACCCAACTCAGGGAGGTGGGTGAGGGCGTGGAGCGTGGAGCCAGCCAGCCCAGGTTCCCGTCGTGACTCTGTCACTTACCAGCCCTGTGACTCTGGGCAAGTCCCTTCACTTGTTTGTGTTTCGGTTTATGAGTTAATCTGCAAGCGGGGATTGCGAGAATGCCTTGGAAGACTGCCTGACACCTGGTCACTCTGTAGAATAAGAGAGAAAGCTGGTCAGGAGAATGTGAATTCCCAAACCTACGTATGTCTCTTTCCTTTGTGTAGTTTCCGCATCTGGATTGAGAACTAAGTATGTTTCTAGTAGAGTAGAAAATGACTAAAGTGGATAAAGGGGAAAAAAAAACCAACTGTTTTATTCCAGTATAATAGGAAATGTATTTTAATTATTCTAACGAATTCGACAGATGAGTTCATCAAATTAATTATTTACTTTAATGTAGTCTACATAGGCATGGAATTTGTTTGGTTTTTTCAGATGAGAAAAAGCAAGATGAAGAAACAACACAAGACCCATCAGAAAAGCCCACAAATGAAGGGAATGAAGGCTCATAATCTAAGAAGAGTGCTGGATTCCTGCCCATTTAAAGACTTAGTGACTCTGTTTCTCTGAGATGTTTGATCTGGTGGTAACTATGGTAACACTGCAGCCCTAAGCAACATGTGTGTATTAGATGTTTTTGCTGTGATGCTGATCACTTGGATTGCAACAATGATGTCCAATGGAGGCCATCAAAAGGCAGGTTCCTTCCAAACCGCACCCAAGGACAAAGGTTAAGAATGCATGATCACTCAAATACATATCATTGTCTATAAACCCAACAAAGTTCACTGTACTTTCTTGGATTCATTTAGCCACATGTACTTTTAATTCAATTTTTATGGTGATGGGCTTATGTGATAGGTTTACAATGACCATTCCTTGGTAAATGTAAAGCAAACACCTTTATTTTAAAACTTTATGGAATTTGTAGGAAATTAGGTTTTTCGATGAGAATAGTCAAAACTCACATGGATATAGTATGTTTGCTTTTAATCAAAATACACCAGATTCTTTCCAAACCTTAAAAAAGATGTGAAAACATTATTAAAGTTTGATAGCATAAACATCTTTAGGATGTTTTTGTCTGATATCTTTTGCTTCTAGTCTGTGCATACTGTGATTTTTCATGTGAACCCCTATGCTAAAAAATTTGTGACAGATTGTTTATATGGAACATGGCTATTAAATGAGTTTTATTATCTTCCTTAACTTTTGTGTGTGTACGTGTATGTGTGTGTGTGTGTATATGTTTTACTTTAATGTTAATTATACAAAATACCTTACGAGTTGCTATACTCTATCTTTTCTTATTCTTGGGGTTTTTGTGTATGTATGATTTGTTTCTAAAATGATTTCCTCAGGAATGAGGACCTTAATTTTTCTATCTTTCCTAAAGTATTGATAGCTAACAGAGCAATAGGCACTTACATATTTAGTCAATTATATAGGTAGACATAGCAAAATATATCCTTTTAATGTATATGGAAATATATATTTTAAAGGAACAAAAACCAAAGCTTTAGCAGATTTTAATTTATTAGACATTTTAGAAAAATTACAGAATTCTGAATTTTTTAATTTGAATAATGAATTTATTTTCACTTTCAGAAATATGTGCATGTAGCTACATTTTCTTTGATTGCTGTCTTAGACCAAGTCTGTATACAATAGCCAAATAAATTCTTTCACCATTAAAGAAATTTATTATTGACATGTCTAGTCTTCTTCATTTTATCTTCTGAAGTATGCCAGGTGAAAAATGGTGACACATTTTATAGAACAAAGTTAATAGTCTTTGTGATATAAATAATCTCTTATTATTTTATTACCAAATCTTACCTTTATATCTTATATATACCAAGGGAGTAGATTTTAAAGAACTGATTGCTTTAAGTTTTCAAATATAAATGTTTCTTTTTTTAAAAAAAAGTTTCTCTATCAAATAATCAAAAGTAATATTTTAGGTGTAACACTAATTTGTTATTCAATAAAATGCATTTTTATCATTACAATTCTATTTCTAAAGGTTATTTAATGATATAAGGTTATATAATCAGTAAAAAGAAGGATTAGACTAGAACAGTGAACCGGGCACTGTTGGTGGCTCACGCCTACAATCCCAGCACTTTAGCCTGAGGTGAGAGGATTGCTTGAGTCCAGGGGTTCGCCACGAGCCTGGACAACTTGGCGAGACCTCGTCCCTACTATTGTATCAAGAAAATGAACCCGTCATGGTGGCATGCGCCTATAGCTCCATCTATTTGGAAGGCTGAGGTGAAAGGATCACCTGAGCCCAGCAGGTCGAGGCTGCGGTGGCCGAAATTGTGCCACTGCACGCCAGTCTGGGCAACAGAGTGAGACTCCTACTCAAAAAGATAAAAAAATAGAACAATGGTATTCAACTGGGGCCAGGAACAATTCCCCCCTTAAAGCAAGGGTCCCCAACCCTTGGGCCATGGATCAGTCCCAATCTGGTCTGTCGGGAGGGGGGTCAGGGGGTGTAAAGAACCAGGTCACACAGCAGGAGGTGAGTGGTGGAAGATTGAGCAAAGCTTCATCTGTATGTAGAACAGCACCCCATGGCTCACGTCACCACCTGAGCTCTGAAGCGTATTTAGTTTTATGGGAGTGTGAACCCTACCATAAATTGCGCATGTGAGGGATCTAGGTTGCTCACTCCTTTTGAGAATTGAATGCCTGATGATCTGAGGTGGAGCTGAGGCGGTGATGCTAGCCCTGGGGAGTGGCTGCAAGGACAGATGAACGTGAGCAGTGAAGTTCAACTGCATCCCCCCTCCCCACAGTCTGTGAAAAAAAATCATCTTCCACAAACTGGTCCCTGATGCAAAAAGGTTGGTGGACCACTCCCCAAAGGGCATCTGGCAATGTCTGGAGACATATTTGGCTGCCACCACCAGAGGTGGGAAGCAGAGGAGGGAAGGTGCTACCGGAATCCAGTGGGCAGAGGCCAATGTCACTGCCAAGCGGCCAAGCATCCCACAGTCCTTCAGCGCAGCCCCCGCAGAAAAGAACCGTCCAGCCATGTTGTCAACAGGGCTGCGGTTGAGAAACCCTGGCGGGGAGCTGAACCGTTAGGCATGTGGATTTTGGGTCGAGCTACCTGAGTTTGAACACTGGCGCCGCTACTCACTAGTTGTGTGATCTTGGGCGATTTGCAGCATGTCTCTACGTCTCAGTCTGATCCTCCGTGGAGTGGGTATACGTAACGGCACATGATCTCTAGGGTGGGTGGGAGCACTAAATGAAACAGTACAAGCAAAACAATTGGGTAGTGCCTGGCATGGGAGAATTATTCAGTCGATATTAGTTGTCATCCTCAGTTATTGTCATTTTTGTTCAGATGCTCTCGCCATTGTTCTGTGGGAGTGGAGGTAGCAGGGAGCTGCCTTTGCTAAGTGGTCTGGCTGCTGTTATCCTCTGTGATGTCACAAACATCCCCTCCAGGCTTGGTGCTCCGAGAAGAGAAGATGCTGTGGTGGGGATGGACAGTTCGTGGTAATTACCACATCCATGCCAATTCAGTCATGCTAACGCGTAACTGATAGGCGATGAGTCTTATCATCTAACAATGAGTCACCTCGTAACTGATTTATGACAGTTACTGTAACAAAACAGGATGTTGTGTCAGTGTTTAATCCAGTAACTTATTTCATGAAAATGTAGGGGGAAAAGTTGTAACATCGCTCTTGGATCATAGTATTACATGGTCTTTTTCTCACATTCAGAAAATAAAAAATGAAGCCGTGTCCCTCCTCGTTATTGCTAGAAGCGACATATATTCTGAACGATGCATGTCCTAAATCGCTTCTTCATGAAGGCACACACAATGGTCCCATTATTTTGTATTACACAAGGTATAAGTCTTGTTAACTGAGAACATTTGCCAACAAAAAGATTGTTCTTTTGCTGATAAGGAACTCAGAGAAAGGAGAGTGAGAGGTCAGTAGCAGTTTAAAGACAACCTTAGGAACCTTTTAACAATCAAGCTATTTGGGGGAACCCATGGTTATTTCGTCACAGCAAGTACACGCTTTTCCCAAAGCTGTTTGGTTGGGACTCGGCAAAGAGCATCTCCACGCCCATCCTGACCGTTGTCTTCATGCAAGCCACTTGCTTTAGTCCGTAGCTATGAAATCTTAATTAATATGGTCAGAGAACCAGGGTGAAAGGGGACAAAAAGCTAGGAAGGAGGTGTCAGAAAACCTAACTCCATACAAAAGAGAAAGAAGAACACAAGAACCCATTCTGTGTCAGATGCCCGGAGATACTTTGTGATTGGGACAGAAAAGGCTTAAACCTTAGAATCTGAGGGAGCAGGCAGGAGGGGTCCCACCTACAAAACGAAATCAACGTTGGCTTGGCTTTGCCTAGGTGGCCTGCACGTCGAGGGCAGAAGGTTGGCATGAAAGGGGCTGGTGGGGGAACAGAGAGGGGACGGAGGAGAACATAAGTTTGGGTGTTCCATACTACTGTCGGATGACAGCAGTGAATGATAATATCAAGTTTCAAACAGTAAAAAAGGAGGAAACTGAACATCCCAACACGAGGAAATGATAAATGCTTGAGACAACGGATATGCTCATTCCCTGATCTAATCACTATACCGTGCGTGTATGTGTTGAAACATCGCTATGGAACCCCTTGAATGTGTACAATTATTATTTATCAGTTAACAACAAAAAAAGACTGCTCTGTTTGTGGAACCTGACTCCTCAAGGTCAAGGTACAGCTCTGACATTTGCTCTCAAGACTTTGGCTGGTTACTTTATTCTCTGTGCTTCCATTTCTTCAATGTGTTCAGTGGCGAATTATTATAAGGACTAAGTCAGTAGACACTGGCGAATGGCTAAGCATGGTGCCTGACTTACAGCAAAAGCTGTTACTATTATGCACCAGAGCATGAGGGTGATGCAGACTTTAAGTTGAATATTCTGGATCTGTTGATCGTCTCTAGGTGATTTGTTGGCTCCTCCTCCCCTTAGCAGCATCTCCTGAGCTAGAACTCGAACTCATTCATCAGAGAGGATGCCCCTTTCTTTGGAGTTATTAACAGCAACTCTTAGAATATTAAAACCTCTATCTATTTAATAATGGAAGCATTGACTCAAAGGGCTGGGGCAGAGACTGTTGTTAACTGCTAAAATTCCAGAATGGATTTCTTTTTTTCTTTTTTTGAGTCGGGGTCTCACTCTGTCGCCTAGGCTGGTGTGCCGTGGCACGCTCACGGTCCCTGCAGCCTCGACCTGCTAGGCTCAGACGATCCTTCCGCCTCAGCTTTCCAAGTTGCTGGAACCACAAGCGTGCGCCACCATGCCTGGCTGATTTTTTGATTTATTGTAAAGACGCCGTCTCACCATGTTGCTCGGGCTGGTCTTGAACCCCTGGGCTCACGCAATCCTTTCGCCTTCACCTCCCAAAGTGCTGGGATTACAGGTGTGAGCCACCGCACCCAGCTTGGATTTCTTACTGAGCAATTATCAATAGGAATAATTATCGCCACAGCCAACCTTTGAGTGACTGGTGATTACTTAGCACATGGTATATCCTTTTGAAGCTTCATAAAAAGTTGCCTAAAATAAGTGTTCATGTTTCTCATTTTACTGAGGAAGAAAATGAATTCAGAGAGCGTCTTTGAGAGCCCGCACAAGAAAGTGATGACGGTGACTTTGGATAGGGCTCTCTTGTACCCCGAAGCCCCTAAGTCCCAAACCAGCTCATCCGTGAGTTGTGTTAGATTTGTCTGCATTTTACTCAGGATTCTCAGAAAAATTGAAAAGTTGTACAGGAAGAGTAACACATGAACCACCGTGAGGCATTCATATCTTAGCACAGGCACGTTTATTTATCTGCCTGACATTTATTCTTTCATTCGCTCATACTTTACCTCCTTCCCGGAAACATTTTTTAATTTTTAAAAAAATTTTTATTATGAAGATGTGGGGTACATTTCAGGGTTAGGTATATAAACACTGATCATGCAGGTGCCCATGTTGATGAGGGATGCCCCTCCCTCCCCCAGCAGTTTCCTTCAACTGCCACTCCCCCTCCCCTTCCCCTGACAGTTTAGGCTACAGTAATCAAAACAGCCTGGTATTGGTACAAGAACAGGCACATAGACCAATGGAACAGGATAGAGATTCGGGAAGCAAAGCCTCAATTCCTCAACCAATTCATCTCTGACAAAGCCTCCAGCAACAACCTCTGGGGAGAGGAAAACCTGTTCAGTAAATGGTGCTGGGAAAACTGGTTGATTATATGCAGAAGATTGAAACAGGACCCCTACCTATACCATACACAGAAATTAACTCTAAATAGATCAAACACCTAAACGTAAAACCTCAAACTATAAGAATCTCGGAAAACACAGGAGACACCCTTATGGAAATTGGAACTGGGAACCAATTCCTACTCAGAACCCTAAAGGTCAATACCTTAAGAAATAAGATAGACAAGTGGGACCTCATCAAATTAATGAGCTTCTGCAAAGCAAAAGAAACCATCAAGAGAGCAGGGAGATAGCCCACAGAATGGGAAAAAATATTTGCCAACTGTTTATCTGACAAAGACCCAACATCCAGGAAACATTTTTTTCATGGCAAGCACAATGGTCATTTAATTTGTCATCAACTTGTAGGGCCCTGAAGGAATGGAAAGTCTGAGCAGCCTGAGGCTGTTTGGGTGAGAAGTAGTGC